GAATTCATTGCATTTTGTTTTTATTTAAATGTATTACATTTTACACAGCGTCCCAACGTTTTGGAATTGGGGTCGTATACTGAGGCTACCTCACTGCTTTCCAAAATAACGACGCATACAAGAAATAACAAGCTCTCTCTCTCACTCTCTCTCTCTCTCTCTCTCTCTCTCTCTCTCTCTCTCTATCTCTCTCTCTCTCTCTCTCTCTCTCTCTGTGTGTGTGTATCTCTCTCTCTCTCTCTCTCTCTGTAGCTGTGGTCTGCATGGTGTCTCTGGGTTTGGTGCCCAGGTTGGTGATGAAGGTGGCCGTGGAGCCGGAGGATATTCGTGAGCTGGTTCTGTCCACTCTGAGCTGCTGCGTGAGGGTGGACGCTCTGCCCGCTCTATCCAGCGATGGAGTGAGTGTGCTCAGGGAACAACTGACACACCCGTCCACCAACATCCGCAGATCGGCCGCCTCCGCTATGATGGCCATCAGGTGAGCTCCACTGGATTAAAGCTGCTCCAAACTGAGCTACTACGATATTATTATTGTCATTAGACTATCAGTTAGAATATAAAGACAGAAGAAAGTGTTGCATTGAGCTGAAGCAACATCATTATTTGTAATGGCTTAAGATTGGAATCGGCCAAAATCGGTAGAGTGCAGTTTTATAAGGTAAATAAGGTGAAGCAGGTAAGTGCGCTTGCGCTCCACCTGTTCACTTCTGTTGTTTTACATCGTTTTATGCGTCATATTATTCAGCAATACAGTGATGCAATATACCATTAGAAAGCTTGAAGTGTCAGGATTTGACTCCTGCGAACCATTTTATGATCCAATATTCACAGCAGTGACAATCGTCTGACTTGCAAAAGGAGCACCGAATGAGCAAACGCAAGCAAATCTGTGTGTCCTCACCTTCAGAGCCTCTCCGCCTCCACAGAGACACCATAATCCACAACATACGGTCTGATAACACAGCAAGAGTCAGAGATCAGTCTAGAGGTCTATGAGTCAGGAGGAAACAAACTCCTTCATTCTAGACTCTGTTACTCTGAGTCAGTAATTCATATGAGTGTTACCTTTCAAACGAGACCGAGATCATGACTGCAGCCCAAAGTATGTGGGAACAGCGCCCCCTTTACTTTGGGAATGACGTTTCAGGCAAAAATGGGGCCACGGTTAAAAAGTTAAATTGGCAACTGATTTAAACTTAAACTGCAAGGCTTATGTAGCTAACAAGCAATGGACATTGATACCCCATCAATTAGCATGGTGCTAACTGCAGGCCTAAATCATCACACATTCACTTCAGGCTGTGTGGAGTTGTTCAGTATCTCTGATAGACCTGATTATGTGGTTTCTGACACATTGTCATCTATAAACATGGACTAAAGTATATTAGCGTGAGCTCCCGAGAGATCACAAGTTCATTCCCCAGTGATGCCACAGCCATACACGAGCTGGAGTCTAAAACAAAAAGAAAGACAGCATGCGCGTGTTCGTTTCGTTGTAAGTACGCTGGTGCAATATGGCTGCCGCTTTACATCAGTTTTTCGTTTGTTTTGTTTTGTATTGTTTGTTTATGTTTTGATATTTTCCTACTGGCTGTGGAATTTGCCATCGTTTCCAATGAGACAGCAGCCAAGAGTGATTTTCCACCCGTGGCTCACAGGCTTCTTGGTCTGGCTGTTTGGGTGATGCTACATCACAGCTATAATGCAGCCTGGACCGGCCGCTTGAGTGACACTGTATTGTTGCTAAGAGGCTGACTGAACCGGGGACTTGATCGACATGACATCGTAGATACGTGGCTGCTTGGATGACGCAGCACTGCGGCTGTGGGGCTGCCTGGACCTTTAGTGTTTGGCTGTGAAAGCAGCGCTACACTGCAGCTACAAGGCCTCTCAGGCCAGCTGCCTAAGCAACGCTACGTCGCAGCTACGTGGCTGCCTGGGCCGGCCACCTGGGTGTCGCTGCACTGCAGCTATGAGGCTGCCTGGATTGGTGGTGTTCGGCTGCAGGAAAATGCTACCCCTTCATGGCTAAGGACGTTTTCGGCCTTCAAGGCTTCCTAGGCTGGCTGCCTGTATGACAGACCTAGCTAAGTGACTCTATACTGTGGTCATTGTAATCCCCCTCGTTAGCTGTTGGAAATGTAGAGGTGTGTGTGTGTGTGTGTGTGTGTGTGTGTGTGTGTGTGTGTGTGTGTACTGTGTTGTTTTATTTACTGTTGATTATGTATTTTGTTATTTTCTGATCTTTTTGTAAAGCGTCTATGGGTTTGAGAAAGGCGCTATATAAATTGAAATTGAACTTAAATTGACTTGTGTCAAACAGCTTCAGCAACCACAGTCAAGTCTTAATCATCTGCACAGAACAATCACAGATACGAGGAAGCGTTAAAAGATGTTCAACTGAAGATAATCACCTGTGTTTTATCACAAATCACAGCCATTATGTTCTAAAGCTAAGAGTACAATGAAAAGCTGCACCATCACTGATCAAATATCTCTCTCTCTCTCTCTCTCTCTCTCTCTCTCTCTCTCTGTTTCTCTCAGTGTTCCTCCGGAGGGGAAGGTGAAGATTTGTGAGGAGGAGGTTTTGCCTGTTGTGGTCCAGTTGCTGAGTGATGCTGACCTGGGGGTCAGTGCTAAAGCTGCCGGAATCATTATGTACACTGCGGTCATCACCAGGGGTCAGCGCACACCCACCTCTAACACCACAATCAATGACACACTGCACACAGTCACTCTTCCAGTTACATTTTTTGGTGTAAATTAAGTGGCTCATTTATCATGCATCATATGGAACAAACACCAACGCGGAACATTGCAAAAAACACTGTATAAAATGTCACTGCAAAACCGCTACAAAACATGGCAAAACACTACAGAAACACTTAAAAATGCTGCAAAAAAACATTTCAAAACACAGCAAAACACTTTAAATATGCCAAAACACTTCAAAACACAGTAAAACTCTTTAAAATATGGCAAAACACTTAACAACATAGCAAAACCACTTTTAGAAAATACTGCAGAAACACATCAAAACATGGCAAAACACTTCAAAAGCACTGTAAAAACACTTTAAAATGCAGCCAAACACTGCAAAAAAACGTATAAATTGCAGGCAAACACTGCGAAAACACTGCACAATCACTGCAAATTCCTCTAAAATTCAAAATAACCACCAAACAATGTGAAAACACTGCAAAACACACTGTAATGTAGCAAAACTACAAAAACACTGCAAAACACTGCAAAAACCTCAACAAAAACACTGCATATCACTACAGATATATATGTTTGTTTATTGTATTCATATTACTTTGTCTGTTGGTTTTACGTTGTTTATTTACAGTGGTATAGTGTGTATAGTAGGGTGGTCTGTGAACAAAGGTGGAGCTGAGTTGAGTCATAAGCTGGATCAGCGTCACTGTGACAGATATCAGAACAGATCAATGATGATAGATCTCCCTCTCTCTCTCTCTCTCTCTCCTGGGTGAGTGTAGGTAAGTTCCAGGCTCTAGAGGCCGGGGTCCTGCCCCACTTGCTGCGTTTGGTGGAGAGTGAGGACCGGGCGGTGTGCGTTAACGCCCTGCGGGCCCTCACATGCCTGGCGGAGGCCCCCAGGGCCCGAGCACAGCTCCTCCAGCACCTGCCCCTGCTTCAGACCCGACTACAGCATCCAGAGCCCATCATCCAGAGAGCATCAGCCACCGCCATACAGGTCATCTCCTGGACACCCTGAGAGAGAAACAGAGCTGCAGACCACCACAGACAGTCTGTACAGCGTGTGCTTTAAGAATAAAGGAGAGAAAGATGCTCATCTGTTCTTTCTCTTTATCTCTACAGGTTAAGACCAGCAATTAATGTACATACAGATCAGCCATTAAAACCACCTCCTTGTTTCTACACTCACTGACCATCTTATCAGCTCACTCACTCAGTTTCACTCTACAGTTACAGACTGTAGTTCATCTGTTTCTCTGCATACTTTGTTACCCTGTTCTTCAGTGGTCAGGACCCCTATGGACCCTCACAGAGCAGGTACTGTTTGGGTGGTGGGTCATTCTCAGCACTGCAGTAACACTGACGTGGTGGTGGTGTGTTAGTTTGTGTTGTGCTGGTCTGAGTGGATCAGACACAGCAGTGCTGCTGGAGTTTTTAAACACTGTGTCCACTCACCGTCCACTCTATTAGACACTCTTACCTTGTCAGTCCACCTTGTAGATGTAAAGTCAGAGATGATGGCTCATCTGCTGCTGCACAGTTTGTGTTGGTCATCCTCTAGTCCTTCATCAGTGGTCCCAGGACGCTGCCCACAGGACGCTGTTGGCTGGATATTTTTGGTTGGTGGACTATTCTCAGTCCAGCAGCGACACTAAGGTGTTTAAAACCTCCAGCAGCACTGCTGTGTCTGATCCACTCAGACCAGCACAACACACACTAACCCACCACCACCACGTCAGTGTTACTTCAGTACTGAGAATAGTTGCTATGCAAAGTGGTAACTTTACAGAAGATGGAAAAAACATCCCAAGTCATTTTGAAAAGTTTTTATTGGTCCATTAATTATAAACTTTGTATATGTAAATTTTTTATGTCATTTTTTTCAATTAATTAAATTCAATAATATAAGGTTATTATAAATTTATATAATAAGAATCCAGAGCTGTGTGAAGGAGACTGAGGTCCACATGATAAAACGCCCTGGAAAACAAATCTTTATTTAGGGTAAAATGCCAACAAATGCGATTAATCGCGATAACTTGCACAAAAGACAGCGATTAATCGCGATTAATCAACACACACACACATTTACTTTAGAAATGCACTCTGCTCGGACAGCCAATCCCAGCGCAGGGGGCGGGACGCGGCGAACCAATCACAGCGCGGCGGGTGGGGCATGTCGTGGTCGTGCCTGCAGTCTCCGCCCCCCGGTGGCGCGCGGCGCTATCAGAGAGCGCAGGGGCTCGCGGCCTCAGCGCTGATAACACGCGCGCACACATTCTCGGACACGCACGAGCTCACAGCCGATCCGAGGAGCGGCGCGTGGCGCAGTTTGGGCTGAAAGCGCTGGATTTTGTGGAGCTTCACCGCGAGACTCTGTTTGAAGGTGAGAGCTTCATTCTGTACACGCGGAGCTGGTGATGACAGGCGAGCACGCGCGCGCGAGAGAGTGAGACGGTGTGAGATGATGGCGCAGGACCGGGCAGCGTGATGCTCGTGCCACCGGCTCCGCCTGCGCGCGCACACGCGCAGAGCTCAGCGGATTATTTAATATGATGCAGATTACAGCACTGAGAGATGATGCGCTGCTTTTACGCAGCAGCGCGCGGGGGGCTGTGTGGGGGGGGTGCGGGGGGTGCGGGGGGTGGGGGGGGCGCAGAAACCACTAGAACTGCCCCACTGAAGGGCAAGTATAACTGCCTATTGAGAGGTGACTTCACTCTAAAACACATGGTTCTGTTTTTTCAGTAAAGGGAAAGGTTCTGTTTAGAACCATGAGTTCTGTATAGAACACATTTAAGCTTAAATGGTTCTTCAGATTGACAGAGAAGGTGTTGTTTATGGTTCTATGCATAACCCTTATGAAATTGTTCTATATAGCACCATTTAAAAGGGTTCTTCTGTCATGACAAGCCTGACATCGTAACAACAGAAGAACCCTTTTTGGTGCTATACAGAACCATAAGCAGCACATCCTCCTTCAGTGTGAAGAACCATTTCACCATGCAAAAAACGTATAAGCACAAACTGGTTCTATATAGAACTCATGGTTCTTAATACAACAATTCCATTTACTAAAGAACCATTGAAGAACCAGTTAGCCTTAAGAACTACCCGTTGATCCACTTTGTGATTGCCCCCACTGTAGGGTGGCCTAGCATTAACTGCCCCACTGAAAGGTGAGTTAGTGCCCCACTGAACAACAGACTAGCTCATAAATAAAACTGTAAATTGTAACTGCCCCACCAAAAAGTGTACTGGTCTGTAAGTGCCACATTGAATGGATCCATTCTGTGACCCTCTGAAGCTCTGGACCAGCCTAGAACTGCCCCATTCAATGGTAGACTAGTCCAGAGCTGCCCATCGAAGGTGTTCAGTCCCACTGAAGGTTGGACCAGCTGTTGGAATGTGTGGACTAGTGTATTGTAACCTCTGTGAAGGTGGGCTAGCCTAGAGCTGCCCACTGAGGGATGGAAACTGGCCCATTGGCTGGAGGCCTGTAACTGCCCGCTCAAGGGAAGATTAGCCTGTATCTGCCTGTTGAAGGGTGGACTAGCCTATAACTGCCCCACTGAATGTTAGAGTAGCCTTTGAAATGTGTGGACGAGTGTATTGTAGCTGCCAGGTTGAAGGTGGGCTAGCTTAGAGATGCCCACTGAAGAGGAGGCTAACCTATACCTGGACCCTCATGGAGGGCTGCCTTTTAAATGCCCCACTAAAGGGTGTACTAGCTTATAACTGCCCCTTTGAAGGGTGGATTAGCCTATGACTAGCCGATGCATTACTGCTTTGAAAGCTGGTCTCTAACTGCCCTGCAGAGAGGTAGGCTAGCCTACATGTTCCTCCCTAAAGGGTGGGCTTGCTAATAACCACCCTATCAAAAAGTGGACTAGCCTAGAACCGCCACTGAGTGGGCTAGTCTAAACGGTCATTGAAGGGCATCACTTCACTGAAGAGTTAGCCAGCCTGGACCTACCCAGTGTAGAGTGGACTAGCCTACAGTTGCCCCCTTCCAGAGTGATGAATTAATCTGTAGCTGCCCACTGAAGAGTGTATTAGCCTTTAAGTGCCCCACTAGCCTATAATGACTCACTATAGAGAAGGCTAGCATATTTCCCCACTTAGCCCAGAACCACATAGGATTAGGCCTATAATTGCCCACTGAGGGGTGAACTAGCCTGTTTTGACAGCCTGCTGAAGGATGGACTGGCATTACTGACCCACTAACGGGTAGTATAGCCTAGAGCTGCCCACTGAAGGGTGGACTAGCCTGCTGAAAGGGGTCTTGTTAGTCATGCTGTGGTTATATCAGTATGGAAATGCATTGGTGTATTTCAGATAGTCTGTAGGGCACCTGCAGTTAGTTTCTGTTCCCTTTTTATTATGTTCTCAGGTTTATTTTTAGTATGCGAGCATGTGCAGTCATGCCCCACAGCATGTGCCCTTCGGAGGATTAATATCTGTGTAATTGCAATCTCCACGAAGTAATCACTGCGGAGTTTGACTCTCCTATAGCTCTAATGACACGCTCCACTGTTTGCACTCATTTAGGTACATCTCTGAATCCATCCAACAGTTATGTCTCTCTCTGAGCTGTTATGTCATGATTTCAACTGTGTTTATGCTCGCTTCATGTCCCAAAACAGCTCTATATGTGAACAGTATGCATTTGTGGTTGAATAGCAACACAACAGTGTAGGACCCATATGGGTGAATGCGGCTGATCTGGGTCCACCCAAACGAGTGGATAATCTGTATTTATCAACGTTCGGTACAATGCTAGCGACTACTTTTGCATAACAGCTGAGAAGCTGATGCAGTGTAATTACACAGCGCGGCCTTCTCTACATCTCTACAGTGAACCAACCCATTTCTTGACTGTAGACACGGTTTGGCTTGCCTCTCTTTAAACACACAGGAGTGGATGATGTGGCATGGATGTAATATTACAATACCCTTTCTGCACGATGTGCACCATGATATTATTTTTTTCTGTGGTTTTATAAATTGAAACAGGCAAAAAAAGGACTTCCAGTTACAGGACTAATGATGCTCTCTTTGTAATGAAACAGCTGTTTGGTGTGTTTGAAGAACTGACGATATTCACTCTGAAAAGCATATTGTAACATAATTTATCTTGATAATGATAAATATCGTCTTATTACCCACCCCTATTACATATTTGTTCATTGTGTAATTGTCTAGGACAGAGGTCTTTAATTAAAATTCCAGTCCAGTCAAAGAAAATTTCCTCAAGCAAAGGTCTGGAACATCATAATGTCTAACCTGCATTATGACTCAGTGCCATATACTGTTTACTGAGACAGTAGGTATATCAACATCTTATACAGTCAACAACTGAATGTCGAATCAAATAAAGTACAGTTCAGTCATATCAACAATGGTTTATTGTCAGTTTTCTCTTTTTAGAGCCGCCATGTAAAATAATCTGACTCACTTTCTTCTCCGACTGCTGTTTCTCGCCTCGTCCCTCCCCTGTGTGAGCGCCACTCACTCGAGTCTCAGTGCTCATCATAATGCACAGATCTGATTGGCTGAGCAGTGTCACGTGATATTTACAACGCATGCGATTGATCTGTGAGTCTCTGGCCGCTAAAGCTACTGTAAAGGCTAGAAAAGCTACGCTGATTAAAACAGGACCACTCCGTCGAAATTAAATATTTCTCCATAGTTTATCGGTTGTAGGTCCAGGTCCGCATAGGACAGCATCTGGGTCCGGACTCAGACCGCCATACGCCTATTAGTGACCTCCGCTCTAGGAAATTCATTTTTGTGAATTAGCTAGGTTGTGTAGAGTTCTGCTTGAATATTTAACGCTGGTTGTCTGCTAACTTTAGCTAGTTGAGATTAGCTTGTTAGCTAGATGCTAGGTTGCTTGCTAACTGTACTACGGTCCAGTAAAACTTGTAGCGGTGTAGATATGAGAAACATCTCTAGCCATATTGTTGACATTTCAACAGCATAATGTGTACGAGCAGTCAGCGCTGTCTACAGCGGGGGTGTCAAACTCGACCACTAAAAGGGCCACTTTAAAAAGACTCGGGCCAGAAAACGTTTACGTTTCATTTCATTTTTAATGAACACTTTGCTATGACCCGCAACTGGCCATTGCATATTATTAAATTCAGCAAAATAAACTAAAATAAACTAAAATAAACTTACAGCATAACAACATATGTTTGAGCACACAGGCTACGTTCATATTACAAGCCTCGTTGCTTCAAATCTGCTTTTTTGCTCGAATCCGATCTCTCTGACTCGATGGTTCACACTCGCTTAGGTCAGTGACTCAAATCTGTCATCAATGTGACGAACTGGCGTCCTGAAATGACCCTGATGAGCACATCCTACTCAGTAACGTCGCGTGAATGAATCACGTTCATCATCAGCACAAACTAACAAGCAGAACGAGCTTCGGTGAGAAGATAATTAACTCTGATCAGCTCTCAGCTTCATTATTAGAGGCGAAGACGAGACGAAGGAGAAAAAGGTGAGATGAGCTGCTTTTCCACTGTTTACAGGCTTTAACTTATGTTCGGCGCTGCTGCCATGGTAACGCTGAATAATGGCGCACACACAGTGGAAAAAAAATCACATGAATTCCGATCTGAGTGTCACATTAAGGTCACATGGCCACGAATAGGATACGTATCTGATCTAGGACCACATATGAAAGAGGCTCAGGTGGGATTTGAAAAAATCAGATCTGAGTCACATTTGGGCAAAAATTCAGATTTGTGCCACTTCAAACTGGTAATGTCATAGGCTGTGTTTACCTGCAAAGACATTTGCCAGTCCGATTGAATACATTCCGATCTCAGTTTACACGCGCACTACAAGTAATCCGATCCATAATGACGCACGTGCATGGAGTACCACTTAGAGTAAATGTTACCATGACAACAAGCATCACGTGAGTCCAGTCAAAGTGAGATGAGCAGCAGTGAGCAGTGCTTGTGTTTTTAATTACTTTAAAATGATGTCAGACTCAGGAAAACGTCCTTCACATGTCCTTATTAAAGAAGGCCGAGAGGAAGACGTCGTGTTCTGAGACACATAAGCTGGACGTCCGTCCCACCGCCGTCTTTTAAAGATCAGAGCATAAACTTTGTCTCCTCTGCAGACCAGTTTCTGCTCCGCCATGTTGAACATTATAAACATTCACTATGACACGACGAACATGATCAGAACGGACTTAAACTTTCCGATAGGGAATGTAATCAGATACAGGCGTTTACACGGATATTATTCGTTTGTTTAACGGATTATTTACAGGATTATCGACCTCGATCAATCAGATAGGAACTGTATTCCGAATGGCCTCAATCGGACTAGACTGTTCCAACTGAGGTGTTTACATGGACG